AGAACTGAAAGGATGAGCATGTTCGATGACGGGATTGGAACCCTCATCCCACAGATTGCGAGTCGATCACCCTAACCACCAGTCCACGCCAGACCCAGTTGTTAGCGAGCTAGTCTACAGATCGGCAGGTTCAAGCCATGATATGCCCCTGAACACGCTCCGCACTCTAAGCTGAGATAGCAGTATAACTGACATTAAATCGCTATTCAGCTCAGAGTAGTCGCTTAGGCGCTGCTCACTGTTTGCCCTTCTTGTGGTCAGTAATTCTAATTTATGGATGGCTATGTCTGAACCTTGGAGCGTCTTTATTGGTCGTTCAGTTCATGGGTCGCATAAGGTGCTATTCAGGTTGGAAATACCAGAATCAAACTGTAAAGAAGTAATGTTGAATAAGTATACTATAAAAAGATTAGATTGTATCTTACAACATTGAAAAAAAAAACTGTACATCTAATAGTAGCAACTTCCAAATTACAGATGAGCCAGATAGTCACGTCGATTCACACCACTTCGCATTATGTTTTCAAAAAGTCAAAATAAAGATTCATTATTTATCAACTATTGGTTTTGGAAGGCACTCTTGATTGATTCTCACATAGAATGTTCCCGCCTCTGATGCAGTATTTGTTTAGAAAAGGTAAACTAATGCATCTTAATAAAGTCAAATTAAAACTGTCATACAATATTTTTATTTGTCATAAGACATTAGTATTATGTTTATTATATTTTAAAACACTACACTCTTTATTTACTCCCTAAATAACGCAGTGTTTAAAAATATAATAGGCCTAATACTAATGTCGTGTTTGTTTGTTTTTAGAGCAAAGCTACATTGGGCTATTTGCTATGTCCACCGCGTGGAACCGAATTTCGGATTTTAGCGTTATAACGTTATAAATTATAATCATGTTTCGTCAACTTGTAAAAGTCGTTCACATCATAACAATTGTGTTCATACAATGTTATCACTTAATCAGCCGTTTTAGTGTGCGAGTTAACAAGTATCCACTTATAGTTTTGTTGTAATCTTTTTTTCTTTCAGAAATTGTTTGTTTGTTTTTGGATGCAAAAACGCTCAGCTACTGATGCATACGATTATAATTTGATTTTTCAATAATCTTCTTCAGCTGGGCCGTTTAGCTTATGAAATTATGCAGACTAACCACCCTGACGCTTCAAGTAACTTCCGTTCACTGGACGACATATTCTACTTTGGTGGACAAGACTATCCATATCAAACGGTTATCTATGACCATCAACCTCGCAGTTCAGAAGAAATCGAACTTAAGAAAGGAGATGTGCTGATCCCTAGAACAAACCTTTGGAATGGATTTTCCATCGGAATGTTAAGACACAACAATAAATCTGGAGTTTATCCCTCCTACAAAGTAGTGGATCAGATTCAAGTTCAAGAGTTTCCACTTTATAAAGAAGCTGATGATGTTAATTCTTAACGAAGTACAACATTCATGACTTATGATACAAGCTTTACAATTTTGTAACATTTTGTCGTCGTTATACTCTGAACTGTATACATACCCTGTTAGTTAAATGGAGTAAATATTAAATAAAAATTAAAAACAACAGACGCAAAATGTGTTTGTGAAACACCCATTCCCCCACTAATGTTCATTGTATGTTTAAGTCCCACATTTGATAGACTTTGACTTTTCAGGCATGACCTTCAAAAATTAATCAGGTCTAGAACTTTGTATGTAGTGCATGCGATATAAGTTCGTTCATTGTCCATTCATCCTGTATTGAAATATCATGGCCATAAGGTTGGGAAATATTTTCTACTTACCAGTGATCTTTTTACTATGGCCTTCAAAAGTTAATCTAGTCTAAAATTTTGTATGTAGTACCTGTTTTATAAGTTTGATCACAACCCATCCATCCAAACTTGAGGTATTCTATATACAGATCAGGGCGGATAAACGAACAGACAGGGGCGAAATCAATATGCCCCGCTGTGCTTCGCTAAGCATTAGGGGCTTTATAAGTACAATAAAACCAAACCAGAGTACCAGTGTAACTCTCCTTAAAAATATCTTTTGCGGCTTTTCAAGAAACTTTCCTGTCAGTTGAGCGTAAAAATTAATTGTGAGTAAATCTTGATGTACATAATATATCTATAAAAGATGTAGTTTATTTTTATTTTGTAGCCTTTATATAGAAATCTTTTTCAATATCAATAAATTATTTTTATTTTTTTAAGTTGATGTAAAACAGAAATGACAGAATATTCAAATTCCAGTTTTCTAATTTTTCAGTTTAAGAACCTGTGACACTTAAATGACGTAAAAGGCACTACTCTTAGGCGACATGATGTTCTTCTTTAGGTGCAACATAGTTGGTGTTATATGGCGACATGATGTTCTTCTTTAGGTGCAACATAGTTGGTGTTATATGGCGACAAGATGTTCTTCTGTAAGTGCAACGGCATAAAGTCGTTGACTTTTTTAAAATGGCAAGATACGTAGTAGACAATCTGCGCTTTGTCCACCGCAGAGAATCAAACCCCAAGTTTTTGCGTTGTATGTCCGGAAACTTACCTCTAACCCACATAGAGACAGGTCACAAAGTAAAGAGAGTGGTCTATTAGCATAGCTACGTCATTTATCAAAAACATAAATCAGAAACTCTTGGGGTAAAATCCGATAATTTGAGAACTAGAAAATGTCCCTGAATGTTTTATTTGAAAATTTTATATTTTAAAAGCTTAATAATGAGAGGTTTAGGTTCTTCATATTATCACAAAACTACACAACGAGATATCTGCGCTCTGCCGTCAGTGAGGAATCGAACCTCAGATTTTAGTGCTTTAAGTCTATAAACTTACCACTGATCCATCTGGGAACAGTGGTGAGAGGAACGATGTTGTTGAAAGGTTGCATGTATGAAGGGTAATGTTTCCCACACTATCATTGACAATTACATTGTATGCGGGGTTGTATTTTTAAACTTTACAAATAGCCAGAATTCTCAGTGACATCTCTCCTATTTCTCCCAAGTGGCACAGACGTATGCCTGTGGACTTACAACACTTGAAACCGGGTTTCGATACCCGTCGTGGGCAGAGCACAGATAGCTCTTTGTGTAGCTTTGTACTTAACTACAAACAAACACTATCCTATGTAGCAGTGATTTTTGTTGTATTTACAGTTGTCACTGTCTGCTGTGACTAGCTTTGTGCTTAACTACAAACAAACACTATCCTATATAGCAGTGATTTTTGTTGTATTTACAGTTGTCACTATCTGCTGTGAAGAACTATTAAGGGTTGTATTTACAGTTGTCGCTATCTGCGGTGACTAGCTTTGTGCTTAACTACAAACAAACACTATCCTATATAGCAGTGATTTTTGTTGTATTTACAGTTGTCACTATCTGTTGTGAAGAACTATTAAGGGTTGTATATACAGTTGTGGCTATCTGCTGTGACGAACTATTAAGGTCTACACACTATTAAAAGGTACTTATAGCATTCATCACGTAGTATCAACATTTTCAGAGTAATACAAAATTTGTACTTTTTTGTAATTATAAATATAATTTGAATTTTGTTTGTTGTTTTTGGATCATTGGTTTCTACTACATATCTTGAATATTTTAAAGTTACCGTAGAATGCTTACTTTTTATCGCAATGACGACTTATACTGTACTCTAAAAATATTTTATATTAAATTATTATTTAATAATATATCAAACAAGTTAGCCATTTTAATGCACTTTGGTGCAAGTCACTTTAGGGAGTTTCTCAAATTTTACACCATCCAAAATTAATGAAAAAAGAATAAACACCTTTAAGTTTTCTTCTGACTGTTTACGAAAGCATATATTTTCTAAAACTGTTAACACTAATTTCTCGAACTATATATATATATATATATATTTTATTTAGTGATCATATCAGTAAAATTGCGTCTCAATGTTTCTATTGTAGTGTTACGACAGTGGAAGTCACGCGACGCTGGAAGCATGCGCGCTGGAGTTTCTAGAAGGATCATGACTTTTTCTGGCAACTCTAGTTTGTTCCAGGCGCCCTCTTTTTTAGTATATAAGCCCGGCAAATAAAGCGGAGATATAATTACAGATAGATAGATATAGAGACAGAGAACTGAGTCAAGCGAGCGGTAGTGACGGTAATATAAAGTGTGTGTTTTGTTATCGAGATTGCAAACGTATTGACTGTGGAAATTCGGTGTATAACAAAGTTGTATCGAGAAAGAATAAACTAGTTTTAATTAAGAAAGGACTTGTATCGCTGAAGTTCCTCGGAAAGAATTTATACCGGAAATTATCAAACGAGCAGATACTTAACAGTATTATTTGTACTTGCATAATTAAATGTACTATTTTATGTGGTACGTATATGTATGATTAATACGTATCGAAATACCGGCTTAATTTTTTAACCTTATGTTATTTTACAAACCATGGATAATAATTTTGCTTCCATAAGTCTATTTTTTGAATGATTAAAAGATCTTTATGAGGAATGAAGCACGTTTTACCCAAGTATTGATACAACCAATAACTTTGAAATACAGAGTCTAATGCTATTTAAATAAATATCCAATAATAAAGGAAATTCAATGCTGTCTAATGTAGTTCGTTGTTGTTTTGTTAACAGCTGTTTGGGTTACTCCCAATTAAATATTAGTTAAGCCTTTACCAAAACAATGTTCATAATATATATCCTCACAATATCTTTTAGTACTTTCTTGGCCTTCCACAAAAGCTATGTAAAATGCTGTGTTTATTTGTATAAATAGTATTAGATATAATCTTTAAAATATGTGTTTTTTTATTTAATACATTAAGGCTTTGACGTCACAGGTCGAACATGATTAAGATACGACAGCCCCTCAGACCATTCCGATTGAAACATTTCCTACATCACCCTTTTTATCGCAATATTTCCAAAGCAGTTAGAATTTCTTTTTAAAGTTAACAAATTTGGCCAGCTTTTTAAGACACTTCGTCGTATATGTATTTGTATATCACACAGGAGATCCACAAAGTTCAATAATGACATATCATAACACTGGTTGACCTTTAAAATCACCCAGCAATATTGTTAGAATATCTATGCGTCAGCATGTTTATAAGTTATTTGTGATACTTTTGGACTCAAAAGTTAAAAATTTCTCAATTTTAGAAAAGAACGAGTTGATTTTATAGTTTATTGATTTTCACCATCAATTCTGTTGTGGAATACAACGCTAAAAATATATTTTTTTTTACCCGTGGTGTGCACAGCACAGATAACCCATTATGTAGCCTTGTACTTAACTACAACCAAACTATTGTGAAAGACACAACTGATTTATACTTATACTTAGACGTGAATGGTGAATGTTAAAATTGAAAACTTGAATTTTAATTTTAAAATATTAGATTATATCCTCCCATTTATTAAATATACCAAATCATATGCCCTGACATGGATATGTTTTTTTAGTTTTGCATACTCGTGTACTTCAAAAGATAAACTTTCGATGATTATTACAGTATTTACCTAAAACGTTATACATTTTATTATAGTTTCTTATAAACACCTTTTCTTTACGTATGTAATGCTTACTAAACTGTTTGTGGTGTTCCTAGTAAGGAAACTTAGTTACTATTGAATGAATGATTTCTATGGTATATCAGTCAATGAAGTCCAATGATTCGTTCCCCATGTTGGTATGCTCAGGATGATTATGAAAAAAAAAAAAAAAACATTCAAGAAGTACTTGTACTGAGAAACAATTTTACCAGAGCTACAATGAATATAAAAAGTTTAACGTGGTACAGTGTTTCAAAGTTTTATGATGAAGCATAAGCCAATCACGTTTCTCACAAACTAGCATAGTTTTTTTATTTCTTTCCCTTTCAAAAAAATACAAAATTGATGATTTGTTTGTTTGTTTTTGAATTTCGCGCAAAGCTACACGAGGGCTATCTGCGCTAGCCGTCCCT